GCTGAAACAGAAATGCTTCCTTTCAGTATTTACTGTAAGGGGCTAATGGATGGATTTATCTTCCTCCACTTACTTGAGGATTTGTATCCAGTCATAGTGGTCAATGTGCCTTTTCTTGGATCTGTAGAATGTGCCCATCCTGCTTGAGAAGTTACATTAGGATACAGATCCCCTCCCTAACCAATTGATGATATACATGTGTGTATGAGGGTTTTATGGGAAAAAGAAGAGCCTGATTTTGGCAGGTTTGTAATGTAAATTATGAGATGTTCTTTCATCTGATTTGTAAGGTTTATGCTTGTGTTCATTTTTAGCATTGTTTAAGAGTGAGTTCATCTTCAGCTATGAAGGCCTGGTGCTTGAGGAGCTCAGTTCCATAGGATGAGATTACTTTCCTTGCTTGCATCTCGTCAACATTATAACTATTATCTTGGTAGTGGTGCTGCTTCATGTGATTTTATCAGACCTGGAGAGCTTGTCAGACACCAGCTAATTCTCCTTGGCAGTGCTAGGGATCTGAACATTATTTAAAAATACCTCTTTTAATAGAAAGATATCTTTAAACACCCAGACTAATATATTTAATTTCCCTTACTGTTGCAGTGCCTGGAAGCAATGAGCCTTTCATGGCTCCTGGACAAATGCCTAACAGTGGAATACAAGATATGTATAACCAGAGTCCATCTGGAGCAATGTCCAACATGAGCATGAGCCAGCGACAGCAGTTCTCTTATGGAAGTGGCTATGACAGGAGGTGAGTCAATCTTAAGGAAAAAGCAAAGGTTGTTAGTGAAAATGATCCTCTCTTTCCCCTTCTCATTTTCCCAGTGCACCTTGCAGAGAACATTGCAGCCTGCCTTTCCTATAGCATCTTACTAAATGACTGGGATTCAAACGACTGGTAATGACTGGAATCTAGCTGTTCATGAAAATTAATAAGGAGGAATTGTCACACCTCACTCAGTCTGCAGCAAATCAGCACATGGGCATGTTTGACAGTTGCCTTCAACTGGTAGCTGGGCTGGGCTGTGATGGTGTAAAGTAGCACTTTAGTTAGTTTTCTGGCTATGTTTTCACTTAAGTAGTTGTTGATGGGCTTTTTATGAGAAACAAAATGCACAGCCTAAATATGTCTGGTTTGTGGTCTGTTAGCCTTTGGAGAGTCTGGAGTCTGTTGTCTGAGCTGTAGGGACACCAGTCTTGCATTGTGATCATCAGGACCCTCATAAGTTTGTCTTTCAGTGAAGTACACAAAATAAATTTGGAAAGGCTTTGGGGGGAAAAAAAAACCTAAATCATTAAAATCATTAATGTCTAAGCATTGGCATAGCAAGCAGAATGTTTTGGGAATGTTTGGATTATATTAAGTGTTATGGTAGTTTGCAGCTCTGGCTGTATTCCTGCTCTCAGTTTCCTTAGGCTGTGTACTTCAGCTTTGCTTTTGTTTCCTGGTAGTGGCTGATGTGGTGCAGTGTGGGTCTTCTAAGTGTAACGTTGGAGTAGCTTTCAGTCAGTAGTTTGAAGCAGTAGATGTGTAGAGTAACACAAGTGTAATAATGTTCAACAGGCCACATTTTTTGGGGAGACAGGCTGAGTAAGGGTTCCGTGCAAGGTGATAAGTCAAGAGAGTGTTTTCTTTGAAGGGGTGTGGTTTGTTTGGTTCACTTTGTTGGCAGTTTTGGAGAGTAAGCACTTTTTATGGAATGAGGTTTCCTTTGTCATTTTTTAGGTCAGATCATGGGCTGGGTCCTGAAGGCAGTATGGGACCACCTGGTCAAAGTAACATGGTGCCTTCAAACAGTGACCCAAGCATGCACTCTCCTAATTATTACCCTGGCCAGCAAAGGTGAACACTGATTTCTCTGTTTATAATATCTGCAATAACCAGGTAGTGAGTGCTAGCAGCCTCTGGGAGAGCACTGAGACAGAATATGTAACCTCTTGGTGTCTGTTGTTGTCTGTTCTTATTTAGGCTTTTACAGTTTGTTCAGTTTTTTGGGAGGGGATGGAGGCTTGAGTGAGTCAGTTGACTTTCTGTAGCCTCAGAATCAGCAGTGTTAAAAAGGAGTTTGCATCCCACCTTGTGTATCTTCCTGCCAACAAGGGACTGAACGTATTTGATAGGCCCAAGTTCTCCCCAGCAGCTTTAAATTACATCAGTTCTGAAGCTTCCACAACTTCACCTGGCTTGTGGTTATCCTATGGCTAGCAATCGAGCATTTAGGAAGTGTTCCCTTATGTGTAACATACATAAACCTCTGCTCAGTTTTGTTCTATTGCATGTACTGTCTTGGACATCTGTAGACCATTCCCATCAGTTACATTGTTCTTTTAAATCGCAGTAGGTAATTTCTCTCCATCCACCTCATAATTTTAGAAGACACTGAACAGCTGTTGCTTTCACTCCAGTCAGCTCTCAAAAACTGTGAATTTTGTATGCGTTTGGAAAAATAAGATCCTATTAGTTCTTTTAATATGTCAGGCTCTCCAGATCTCTGTTTCTCTGCCTCTCCCTGATATATTACTTCCATAACTATAATACAATTGTAGATAAGGTCTCACTGGTAGTGTGCAGAGAGGAATTATGACATACTGGTCTGCAATACAGTGTTATTTGTAATACTTTCCAAGTACTTCATTTGAGCAACCTAAATTTCATTCAGATGTTCTAAAAATATTTCAGTTGCACTATAGTGCTCCACAGAGGTCTTGGAGGCCACAGGTAAGTTTCCAAGTGCAACTCAACTCTACCTCTTATATGTATGCTTCACTGTGTAGCTTGAATTAAACACCAGAGGAACATTAGCAGAATTATCACTCATGTTTTTACTCAATAAGATGTATTTAAAAGTTACATACTGTAATGAAATGTGTACTGTCTTTCATCATAAGACTAAAATTATTATTTCAATTTAAATCAACAGTTAAGTATTTATTATATTCTTAAATAATCCAGAAAGTAGCTTGCTTGGAGACTGACTGATTAAAACACAAGAATTGTGACTTGCAACCTTTGAGCTGTACAAGAGGTACTTTTTAACCTAAGACAGGTTCCCAGTGGCTGCAGCTGCCTTTCTTACCTCTTGACTGGCCATACCTTGTTTGCATTCCCAACTGCTACCTGCAAGTCTCTTTGTTGCCTCTTCACTGCTTCTCCTTTCTTCTGCTTTATTTCCTTCCTTCCACTACCAGCTCCTGCAGAGCTTACTACATAAGGCTTGGGAGCAGACCACACTCTTCACCTTGTTTCCATATGGCAAATATCTTCAAGGGGCAAGATCTTCAGAGTGCTTTGCTAATCCCAGTGGCCTCAAAATTCCAGCAGCTCTAAGTGTTGATTTTAATGCTTCATTTTAGGCATGAGCCTTATGGGCAGCAGTATCCAGGACAAGGACCTCCCTCAGGACAGCCACCATATGGAGGACATCAGCCTGGAATGTATCCACAGCAGCAGGTAGGAGAGGGGAAAATAGTTGTATTCATAACATTTGTTTAATAAATCTCACCCCAAAATTCTGTATACATTCAAAAATTTGTATATACAATATATGTCTTTTGGCGCAGAGAAGCACTGTAGCTCTGGTCAAAATCACAGGTCATATGGATAAGCAGTGTATATGCAGCTATAGGAAAATGTGTTTGTTACACTGGAAGAGTGTAAATTTTAACAGATGTTCTGTGGCTTTGGATGTGTATCAAGTGACTGTCCCAAGTTACTAACCAGCAGATTGGGAAAGTATAATTCATAGACCAGTAAAATGATGCTGCCTTACTCCAGAAACAAATAGGAAAGCCTTGTGGCTGACAGGTAGAAGGGCCTTAACTTAATGTCCTGCAACCAAGTTGAACCCGAAAAAGCTGTAACAAAGTAAAACATGCAGCACTCTCAATTATTTACTGTGCTGTGCTGGCTCATATGAAATATCTGTCTTTCATATAGGTCCCGTGGCACATTCCCAAGTTATCTCTAGTAATAACATGGTAGAAATACATGAGAGAGAACATTATTAGTATTAAAAATACTTTAAATATTTGAATATTCAATAATCCCCAAACGTGTAATAACTTCGAAAATACAAATTATATTAATTAATAAGATTTTTTTTTGCATGTATCATTAATGTCTTGTGGGTAAAATCCCATCTTATAAGTCAATAGCAAAACTCCACTGACTCCAATAGGATCAGAGTTTTATCCTGCATATTATTAATTCATTTATAGTGATACAATAATTAAAGTTGAAGTTAGCTTCATAATATAAGAGATTTCCTTGTAAGTATAAAAATTAGCTAGTTTTCTGCCCATTTCAGATAGTCTTTTCAGTTTGGGGTAATTTTACTAAGAAATTTGGTGGGGAGACCAAAAAGAGGAGATGTTCAGTTGCACTATACCGAAAATGTATATAAATACCACTTGCAGAATTTCTTGCTTATCTTGTTGGTTCATAACATCTCTAAAATATCATAATCAATAAGCTTTTCTTGTTCTTTATGGTGAACATGCTAGCAGTCTGGGTGATTTAGTGGGGAAACTGAAAATATATTTCACATTATAGTTAGTGATATTCTATGCTAACATGCAGGGAATATGCTAACTACATGTTCATTTAAGCAAGGAGACAGCTAGGATTTGTAAAAATATATTTGACCTTGTCCTTAGTGCTGTTTACATGCTTTGTACAATGACTCTTGAATGCAAAATGCAGTAAAGAATGAAGGACAAGGATCCTGGCTGGCCTTAGCCTCACCCTTTGCCTCCCAGAGGATTCCACTTCTTCATTTAGCTAGAGATTAGGTTGCCAGTAGCTTATTTTCAATTTCCTAAATCTCAATCTATAGTTATAGAGGAAGAATGTGAAAAATGGCCCTTTCAAAGCTTTATCTATAACCTGAAGGCTAGGGAATGACCTGGGAAGAAGGTACTTGAAGCATGACCTCCTAGGGCTAATGAAGTACAAAGAGCCAGGTTTTTCAAATTCCTCTATGAATGCTTATACCCCAAGACCCCACGATCAAGTCACCTGTGTTGGTGACTCTGTGACTACTCCAAGGTGGGGAGAGACACATGTGCAGCCTCAGTCTCCTGACAAACCTTGACACAGGAGGGGGAGTTCAGGTGCTTCCCTGTGCTCCACGCTGTTTCCCATGAAGCTTGTTGCTGTTACATACACAGGAGCACTGAAATGCTTTCCAAAGGCACACACTTCATTCCCAAGTGTCTACTTTAAGTGCTTTTAGTCACTGTGGCAAAACAAACACCACCTTTTTAGGTGTGGCAACTGCCAAGTCAGTTCTTAATGTATAAATTGGCCCCAGGAGTGGAATTCACAACAGCAAGTACATTATGTGAGGCTGAAAATAGGTATTTCTTAGGTAGCCAGAGAGCTCTATAGCAAGTTTAAAAAAAATATACTTTCATGCAATACAGTCGTTGTGGTTTTATGTGCAACAAAGTTGGAAGATGAGTTTATGAATCCCAGAGCAGCTTTAACTGACCCATATTGCATACATGCAGAATTTTATCTGATCTTAACTCTAGCACTTTAGTATACATTGTGCAATGTGACTGAGATACAGTTTTCGAGGGAGCTGTAACTTTGAATTTGCCATAGATCATATATTCAAAAATCACCCATTTAATTCACATTTTTTGCTTCAGAGCACTCAGTGTGGTTTGAACTATGGAACAAACTCCCACAGGAACTAAGGACTGCTGCAAACCTCACCACCTTCCCCTCAAACTGTAATGTTTTTTGTTGTGCCATCTTAAACATAAATATATACAAGCTTGTATGATTTAAAAAGCAACTCAACTCCCCCCAAGGTAAAACAGCTTACCTCGCAGAGCATTCCCCACTTGAGTGGGTGAGAAACAAAGAGGGAATAAACCACAGGTGGCAGCTGTTAGTTACATTGCTTCATTCATTACTGATCAACAGGGTAAGAACCTGCATAAACTAGAACAGAATGTTTAGATGTGACCATTTGCTGTAATAATCTCACAGTAAATTAAATGTGATGAGGATGATTTGGGAAGAGGGATGATTGCCCAAACACAGGATCACGTTCCTGGGAATCACACAGAGTAGCAAATGAAGCAGAATATTTTCTCCTACTAATAAATTGACTGTGTGTAGCCGATGGCCTGTCTTAAGTTCCAGTATTTCAGACATGCATGCTTGCAGTATATCTTGTTATTTTAAGTGTTTATTCCGAATCTGTCCCTTGAAAAGATTCACTGAGTGGTTTTGAATTTTTTTAAGGTTTTTCTTCTTAGTAGCCTAAGCACAAAAAAGAAGCGAAAATGTTTTAGTTGGTGAGGACCTTTGCCTTTTCATGCATGTCAGAAATGGCCACTGGAATATAATCTGACAGATAGGAATGGAAAAGGAAAGAGAAAAAATGAGACCAAACGTTAAGAAAATTTAGCCCAAGGATAAGTTTCCTTTGAGTAGTAAGTTTTAAGCACAGCAAAACAGAGGCTTAAAAAGAAAGCACTGGATCAAGCCTAAGCGTGGCACTGCATGCCTGACTCTGGAATCAGCACAATCCCTCCAGAACTAAGTGCCTTCTGCTCTTTAAATGAGCTTTCAGCCAACACATTTATATTGTGTATGAAGTAAAACTGACACATCTTCTTTCGCAATTTTTTTTTCAGAACTATAAGCGGCACATGGATGGCATGTATGGGCCTCCAGCCAAACGCCATGAAGGGGATATGTATAACATGCAGTATGGCAGCCAGCAACAGGAAATGTATAACCAGTACAGCAACGCTTACACAGGGCCTGACAGGAGGCCCATGCAGGGACAGTATCCATATCCATATAACAGGGAGAGGATGCAGGGCCCAGGACAAATGCAGCAGCATGGAATACCTCCCCAGATGATTGGTGGCCCCATGCAGTCATCATCCTCCAGCGAAGGTCCTCAGCAGAACATGTGGCCAACACGAAATGATATGCCTTACCCTTACCAGAACAGGCAAGGTCCAGGAGGCCCTGCACAGGCCCCACCGTATCCAGGGATGAATCGCACTGATGATATGATGGTACCTGACCAGAGGATAAACCACGAGAGTCAGTGGCCTTCTCATGTCAACCAACGTCAGCCTTCTTACATGTCATCCTCAGCCTCCATGCAGCCTATCACTAGACCTCCTCAGTCATCCTACCAGACGCCACCCTCTATGCCAAACCACATCTCTAGAGCTCCAAGTCCAGCATCCTTCCAGCGCTCTTTGGAAAACCGTATGTCTCCAAGCAAGTCTCCTTTCCTACCTTCCATGAAGATGCAAAAGGTTATACCCACAGTTCCAGTGTCACAGGTCACAGGACCTCCACCCCAACCACCACCGATTAGACGAGAAATTACCTTCCCCCCAGGCTCTGTAGAAGCATCCCAACCAGTCTTAAAACCAAGGCGAAAGATTACCTCAAAAGATATTGGTAAGCATCAAAACAAAAGCCAAATACCAAAACAGGTTGGGAGAAAGGGACTTGGATTTTTATTTTCTTTTACATGTTATGACTGTTTGACGAACAGTTAACTATGGTAACTAGAATATGATAATCTTCAATAAAAATGTAATAACAAATGTGTCAGTGAGGATGATAGATCAAACTCATCCCAGATAATCTGACATGAAACTAAAGCAGTATTTTATATAAAGACCTGAGGTCTCCAGAAATGCATTAAAAACAAAGCTTACCTCAGATTTCCAAATGATCCATTCCTGATTCCATTCTGATTCCTTCAGAATGTCTATTAAATCACGAGTGCAACATTTAGCTGAGCAAAGCTTTCTATGTTCTTGTTCTATGAAAGCTTGTGCTGTCCTGCTCTGTAGTTATAGTCTCTGCCTCCCTTGAATGGCCAATTTATTAATTGCATATTATTTGTCATATTTGTTTCTCCCCCTATTCTTTCCCAAGTATCTTATCTTGAATTCTTGTTACATTTCTTATATTCAAGTTCTCATACTTCAAGTTCCCACACTCCTGACAGAGTATTCTACCTTTATTTACTGATTATTTGGTTTAGTCAACTTCTGTAAGTTTGAACGATTATTTTGTCTTCAGCAAAGTCAGGAAGAATGGCCCTATTAAGATATTCTCCAGTATTACAGCTGGGCAGCAGTTATAGAAAAAACTGAACATGACTGAAAGTGGTGAAAACAGGGTCTTAAGCATTGTTGCAGTAACTACTTCATTTAAATTCTGCATCCTCAGATTGTGATAGTTCAGTCTTTCAGAACTCATTAACCGTCTCTGAGGATGCACAGTTTTACTTCTCCTCCTTTATTTCTCCAGTAACTCCTGAGGCCTGGAGAGTGATGATGTCTCTTAAATCTGGTCTTCTGGCTGAAAGCACCTGGGCGCTAGACACTATTAATATTCTTCTGTATGATGACAGCACTGTTGCTACTTTCAACCTCTCCCAGGTAGGTGGGAAAGCAGGATGCTTCTCAACTTTCCAAGGAAAAAAAACTGAAATAAGATACCTAAAAAACGCTGAAGTCCTTTAAAATGTAATATAATTAAAATAAATGTGAATATTGCAAAATGTTCCTTTTTAATGATTGGTAATAGTGAGCAATGAGATCGCTTTAGGATGGATAGGGGAAATAGTAAGCCTGAAAGAAGGATGTCCCTTGTAGAAAGGACATATGAATTTTAGTAATGACAGAAGACTAATGTATAAATTCATACTCAAGGACAAGGACAATCCCAGAAGACAGCAATATGTTCGTAATGTTGCTTCACTTGTCTTTCCAAAAAAGGCTTGGCAAAACTATATTAAATTGATTTGAGGCTAACTTTTGGTGACTACTTTTCTTATTCAGTAGTTCCATACTAAACTGTGGGATTTATTTTAATTGCTTATTTTCTGTGTAGTTTCTTCTTCCAGTAAATTAATTGTTCACTGAAATATCAGATTGAGAATTTAAACACCAAAATCCACTGGCTTTCCACAGGATGCAAGTAACACAGGATTAAACAGTGTGCGCTTTTGCCTCTCTACCTCCCAGCATTTTTCAGCCCTGCTCTAACTGTTGGCCTGTTAGGTGGTAGTAATAGACGGCATGCTGATAATACACATCATTTAAAATTTGTACAAATCAAATATTCAGTTTCTCTCCTTCATTCATTCCTTGGCTACTAATAGTGTAACTCATTATTTTATTAATATAATGACCTTTTTTTTTAAATATGGGCACAAATGGTACATTTAATCCCACCTAACTTTAGAACTAGGGATATCTATAGCATGATTCATCTCATCCTGAAGCAGAGATCTAAAATAGGTCAGATGAATCATACCCTAGAAATGGCCTGTAAAAGACAGTTGATAATAAAAGGAATCTAGACAATTAGGTTAGCTGTGTAACTTTTGCAGGTGTTTGAAGTTAAGTGAGGTGAATCTCCTCTGAATTCTTTTTGAAATTGTAGGGATGCATCCTGTGTAAATTGCAGAGAATACACAGCATATTTGAAGTTTATATATTTTTGTTACTTTTGCCTTGGGCTCTGTTTCCAATGGCGGTCAGGACTTTGTACGATGACTGACAGTTCCTGGAATTCATAAGCATCGGTTTGTTCTTAATTCTTTGACGGTTTAGCAATCATAAAAGAATAAAAAATGGACAACAGGATACATTTTGTTGAAAATTTCCTAGCCCACAATTTAAAAAAGTATTAAAAACCAGACAATCAGACTGAATATATTGTAACAGCAAAGCATGTTTAATAATAAAGCCACTGAGGGTAAATTAATACCAAGTCCAACTACTGCCTTTCCGTAACAAAATGATTACAAGTTAATTAAGAGGATTAAACCTAAATGAAGACTGTTTCTGAAGGGTGACTTAAGAGCACCAGGCTCTAATAACAACTTTTAAAAATTGCCAGGCAAAAATTGAACTATTCCAGTAGAGATGGGATGTAAATCTAGGATGTCAGTACCTAGACCCTGAACTGTAGATTCCTACAGGACAGCTGGTTTTAGAGACTGAGAGACAAAGGAGGAGAGGAAGAATTGTGAAGCTTGGGTATCTAATAAAAGTCCAAGTCAGAAAAACTAAGAGAGTTAGAAACTTTATTACATTGTACAGAAAATGAAGAATACTAGACATTTCCAAGGGGACTGAACAGCTAGGCTAGATGAAAGGAGACATATGAATGAAGTTCTGTACTTCTCTTAGCTGTTGCAATTTAAGCAAATGGAGCTGTGGTATTTTGACATTATATATCTACTGTTTGGACAGGTGCAAGAAGAATTTCCTTTGATTAGCTTCTGCTATGTAAGACCTAGCTACAAGTCCACAGCAGGAGGAGGGAAATATTCATGGATGTATGCATCAGTGTTCCTAATAAAATTCCATGCAGACAAAAGTATTTATCTGATTTTTATGTTTTTTTCTTCTCCCTTCAGTTGTCTGGATTTCTTGAGCTTTTAGTAGAATATTTTAGAAAATGCCTGATTGACATTTTTGGAATCCTTATGGAATATGAAGTGGGAGATCCAGGTCACAAAGCACTTGATCACAAAGCAGCCAAGAAAGATGATAGCCAGTCCATGGCAGAGGATACTGGAAAAGAGGAGAACGAGGAATGTATTGACTATTTTGATGAAGATGAGGAGGAAGGGGAGGATGAAAAGGTAGAAGAAGAAGAAAAGAGCATTGTTTTTTCCACTCCTGGTGCCATTGCTGATCCAAGTGAGAGGCCAAAACAAGCCAGTAAATTTGATAAGCTGCCAATAAAGATTGTAAAGAAAAATAATCTATTCGTTGTTGACCGATCTGACAAACTTGGACGCGTTCAGGAATTTGATAGTGGACTTCTCCACTGGCAGCTTGGTGGTGGTGACACAACTGAGCATATCCAGACTCACTTTGAAAGCAAAATGGAGATTCCTCCACGCAGGAAAGCCCCTCCTCCCTTGAACTCTCCAAGCAAAAAGAAGGACCTTGAGGGGAAAGGTGAATCTGAGGAACAACAAGAAAAAAGTATAACAGCAACCATTGATGATGTCCTCTCAGCTCGCCCAGGAGCACTGCCTGAAGACTCAAACTCTGGTTCCCAAACAGAAAGCAGTAAATTTCCCTTTGGGATCCATCAAGCCAAAAGCCACCGGAATATTAAACTGCTAGAGGATGAGCCAAGGAGCCGGGATGAGACTCCTCTATGCACCATTACTCACTGGCAAGACTCCTTGGCCAAACGCTGCATATGTGTGTCAAATATCGTCCGTAGCTTGTCTTTTGTGCCTGGTAATGACACCGAAATGTCCAAACATCCAGGCTTGGTGCTGATTCTGGGAAAGTTGATCCTTCTTCACCATGAGCATCCAGAAAGAAAGCGAGCACCGCAGACTTACGAGAAAGAAGAAGAGGAGGACAAAGGGGTGGCCTGCAGCAAGGATGAGTGGTGGTGGGACTGCCTCGAGGTCTTGAGGGATAATACATTGGTCACATTAGCCAACATTTCTGGGCAGCTAGACTTGTCTGCTTACACAGAAAGCATCTGTTTGCCAATTTTGGATGGCTTGCTGCACTGGATGGTGTGCCCATCTGCAGAGGCACAGGATCCTTTTCCAACCGTGGGGCCCAACTCAGTTCTTTCGCCTCAGAGACTTGTGCTGGAGACCCTGTGTAAGCTCAGTATCCAGGACAATAATGTGGACCTTATCTTGGCCACCCCCCCATTCAGTCGTCAGGAGAAACTCTACGCTACTTTAGTTAGGTACGTTGGGGACCGCAAAAACCCGGTCTGCCGAGAAATGTCCATGGCGCTCTTATCGAACCTTGCCCAGGGGGACACATTAGCAGCAAGGGCAATAGCTGTGCAGAAGGGAAGCATCGGAAACTTGATAAGCTTCCTGGAGGATGGGGTCACTATGGCCCAGTACCAGCAGAGCCAGCATAACCTCATGCACATGCAGCCTCCACCTCTGGAGCCACCTAGCGTAGACATGATGTGCAGGGCAGCCAAGGCCTTGCTGGCGTCGTTTGCTGGATATCTCAATATCTGCTGTCCTGAACTCTCTGGTTGCATCTGTCATCTGTGATGTACTTTTTCAGATTGGGCAGTTATGACATAAGTGAGAAGCCAAGCATGTGTGAGTGGAGATTAGAGGGTCACATATAACTGGCTGTTTTCTGTTCTTGTTTATCCAACGTAGGAAGAAGGAAAAAAAAAAAAAAAAAAAAAGAATCTTTGCTCCTCTGCCCCATTCACTATTTACCAATTGGGAATTAAAGAAATTATTAATTTGAACAGTTATGAAATTAATATTTGCTGTCTATGTGTATAAGTACATCTTTTTATTTTATTTTTTTTTAACCAAAGTTGCTGTCTAGTACATTCAAAGGTCACACTTTTTTTTTCCATAGATTATCCTTTTCAATGTTCTTTTCCATGTTTGTATTGCATATTTTTTGGGAAGCGAACTAGTGACTTTTTAAAAAAAAATGTTCTGGCAAACCATTGTATGATGGGAAAAAAATCTCACCACTTTGAAAGAAAAAGGTGAAAAATAACCAACCTACCAAGTTCCTGTGTGTTTTATTTTTTCAAATAAGGAAAAAATAATAAAAAAAAAACTCGTATACCATCACCCAAAGCTCTGTGCAATAGAAGATCTAGTGATGTAGGTGTAGGGGATCAAGGAGGGTGTCAGTCAGTAGTAAAAATACAAAACGATACTGGTTTCTCCTCAGGAGAAATGGTGACATTAGGCTAGGAGCAAAACAAAACAAAAAAGTCGAAGATTTTTAAACAAAACCTGATGATAAACATCAATTGCTTCCTCACCAGAACTGTCATATCTACATCTGGTTGTTGTTTTTTTTTGACCTTCTGCAATGACAGTTCTTCACAGTTCCTTTAATCATTTTTTAAAATATTTTTTTATTGCCTAAGGGCCGTGATGTATATAGAAGTTGTACATTAAACATACCCTCTTTTTTTTTTTTTTTTTTTTAGTACAAAGGTTTTAGGTTGTTTTTTTTTCATGATGTGGTATCTACAAAGTGATAGTAGAATTATTTTTTTCTTTCATTTGGGCCATATCTCCAAAAAATAAGAAATAAATAAAAAAAAAAAGAAAAGAAAAAATCAAAACCCAACACAGAACCACCAACTGAGGGTAATGTACAAGTTTCTGTATGTATAAAGTCATGCTCTATTTCGGGAGAGCAGCCGATCACAATTTGCTTTATAAACCAAGGTGTGGAAATGGTTACGTATGGATTGATTTAAGAAAATGGTTACCAGTCTACAGACAAAAAAATATATACAGGAAAAAAAAAGGAAGAAACACAACTTCAAAGATTTTTCAGTGACAAGAATCTGCATTTGTATTTCAAGATAATGTAGTTAAAAAAGAAAAAACTTGATGTAAATTCCTCCTTTTCCTCTGGCTTAATGAATTTCATTTATTCAGTATAAAATCTTTATATGTTCCACATGTTAAGAATAAATGTACATTAAATCTTGTTAAGCACTGTGATGGGTGTTCTTGAATAATGTTCTAGTTGCAGTGTGGGATATCAGAAAGCAAACTAATTACAAGAAAGAGCGATAATGATTATTCTCTTTCCCCTACTTTATTATTATGACCTTCAAAAATATTACACTATTGTATTGCAGCAACTTGCTGTCCTTTTAGAAAAGCCTTTTTGCATCACAGAGAAGCATTTTTAGTTATCCTTTATAAAACCACAGAGCCTCAGAGGGGAAGACATGGCTGGCAAACGATAGTTCTGACTATGCAGGTATCCAGTCTCCATGCTGTGTTTTTGGGGAACTGAAGATGGATGTTAGAAATAAGTGACAAAAGATTTTGTAAAAGCAATAACCAAGTGGAAGAAATTGGTCTGTATCCACTACCTGTAATTCTCTCTGTTGGTATAAAGGTGCAAATACCCCAGTGATGTGGGTATTTAGAATAAACACCCCCACACATTTCTCAATACTGTATGTGTCATTGCATACTTACATGGCCTCTCATCCTGGGAGTCCCCCATTAAAGTGGATCAGGCTTTAATAGAGCACATCCATCGTTATAATTGGTGGGAGATGGCCATTTCAGTTTCAGGAATTATCTGGTTTCAGATACATCCACTTTGACCTGGAGATATCTTGTTGCTGAATATTGTTCAAGCACTAATTTTTGCTATTTTATCTTGGATCATTGACTTTGTTAGTGTGATCATAAAAAGCTAATAATAATCAATTTCCCTGGAATTGCCACATAATTACACTGTCAGTGAATAGCCTCCTCCTCTCTCCAATAACAATTCGGAGGTACTTGAAAATTACAACCCCCTTTGGCACACTGCCCATCTTGTTCATATAGATTGCTGTAACATTAATATATGTAAGAGAATTTCAGAGACAGGTAAAATATATATAATTATAAGCCAAGTTTGAAACGTGACTCCCTAGTGTCATGAAAAGTATTTCTCCTGCTCGCTTTTCTAATTCAGTAATCTCTCCACTCCCACATCACGTGCTGCATTGGTCTTGTCTTCCTCTTGCATATTGCTGCATTCAGAAGTATGTGTGGTAAATTATAACCCACTTGCAACTCTTCATCATGGGAGACATATCTCAGGGATGATTTTTACAGCTTGATACTGGGCAGTGTGGAAGTAGAATCCCCTCCTAAACCTATTTCTTGTGACCATTTAACTGCTTGATATTGCCCCACAGATACAAGCAAGCTGTTAAATAAACCTGCTGAGTGATATGTTTCTTGTTAAGAACAAGGAAGGACGTCTAGTCTCTTTTTCTCTTCATCATTCAGACCCAGAGTACTCTGGGGGAAACTACATGTGGCAAAATTCTGTGAGCCATCAGAGGCAGTGCCTTAATGACATTCAGGACTGCTCTGAGCCTAGTTAAAAAATGTGGTGGAGAAAGAAACCCACCCAGCTAGCCAGTCAGCCACATGGTGTCCATATGTATGGACCACTGCTGCCACTCTTCCAGTTGGGCTGAGAACTAGCTGGGTAACTGGAAAAGCGGAAGGAAAGGTTAATAACACAGTTTTCTGCCTGAACATGATTTTATGCTGTTTCAGGATGAGTAAATTTTCTAAATCCCGGGTTAGTATTACAGCACATTTACCAGAAGGAAGGCCAGTTCCATCACTTGTCTATGTAAGATTTCACTTATCCCAAAATGGTCTCAAGCCTTTGGAGAAGACCTGCTCATGAGATTTGTGAACTTAGCATGTTTTGACTGAATCCTGAACAAGTTTGAGCTGCTGTTGGTATTGTTCCTATAAGAACAGTTTTGACCAAAAAAATGACATTTTTTTGTGCTGACATGATCACAGATACTCTATAGTGAAGCTCAGACTAGTAACATCAGAAAGGTGAAATACCTAAAATTTTAAAACTGCAATGAGATATTTAGGGGAAAGCAGCCAATTAGTATTTTAGGCAATAATCAAACACAAATATTTGACTAATATACGTTTAAATAAGCTATCTTTTTCCTTGGCAGGCCCAAGCAAATAATTGCTTATAGATTGAAAGAGCAGCCATGAGATACATAGAGGCCCTGCAACTTACTTTTAGAATAATTTTGGGAATTAAAACCTTCCAGGGGGAAAAAAAAATAAATTTAAATTAAAAAGTGTGAAAACATCCTTCTCAGAAACATCACATTTTCAACTACCCAAATGGAAGGATGCAGAAGAAAAATGCTTAAAAGCACTTTCTCTTCCATCTCCTTTTGCTGTTTTTCACCAAAATCAGTAAACATTGTGCCATACATCACTATTATGAGACCATTATCTTTTTGACCTGAATACATCTAGAAGAAAGATTTACTTAGAATCATAGAATCATTGAATGTTTTGGGTTGGAAGGGACCTTAAAGATCCCTGCCATGGGCAGGGACACCTCAAACTGGACCAGGTTGTTTAAAGCCCCATCCAACTTGGCCTTGAACACTTCCAGGGAGGGGGAAGGCACTTACTTAGAAAAACTGTAGCAAAAGCATATGCTTATCTTCCATATTAATGACTCCTATACAACCATTTTACAATGCAATCCAGGGTACAACTCTCATTTTACAAATTATATGAAAACACCGCTCAGTAATAAAGAATCAAGTGCAGCTGTCATTTATAACAAAAACACTTCCATCTGAAAAAGATCCAGCCATTACAGGGGGTAGGTTCATTTCAAACATTCTTTTAACACATGGCATTGTGCCTCATTCTCATTCTGTTGCTGTTCAATGTTATTTAGTAGCAAAGAAAAAAAAAGTCACTATCATCTCTATTCCTCCCTGTATAAGAGGAAGAGTTGTATATGTCCCCAGTGCAGATGCCCAAGCTAACTTGAAACTGAACTGAAGTATGGGAACTGAATTGAGGTGGCACACAGCCAGTTCACTCTTTCAAGAAGCTCTGCATGGAGTAGTACTCGTGCCTAAGAAATATTACCCCTTACTGCCCAAATACTGTAATAACACTGTCACAGGATTCGGGCTTTTCTGTGTTTAAAATATGAGCAGTCTCAAACTTTGAGACAAGTGCTGTCCAGAGATGACTTATTTTTGTCACCATTGATCTGGTAATATCAAATATGTGGAAACCACACTCACATACAAAACCACAAAATAGTCCCTGCTGCAAAAAACTTACTTTCCAAGTCATGGACAAGTAACTGCAGGTGGAGACAGACAGGAAAGCAACAGTGAGCTGAAATGGCAGGTACCACTCTTGTGGCAGAGTGCAGCTAGGCAGATCTAGAATATGGCCTGATATCACCTGCAAATTTAATTTTCATCAGGATAATTTGTGACATTTCTGGGAGCTTCCCCCTTCTGTTTTCTCATTATGAAACCTTACACTTCCCAGGCCCAATTCCTTTCCCTCCACCCCTTGCAAAGATTTTTATTTAAGATTACTGAGTCTGAAGAAACAAGAGTCAAAAGTACTGAGGGAGGAAAGGGAGCTAACACATGGTCACCTGGAGAAAGGCAGAACACAAAAACAGAGCTGAAAGAAAAGCATCCTATGTCTCTGCTTCATTGCTCTGTTTTTGCATTTGGGCCATTTCAAATTAATAATTAAACCAAACTAGGGACATTGTGATTTCACTGGTGGTTAGTATAAAGAAAAAGGAAGCAAAAAGGTATTTGAAGATGTAGGGAGAGCAAGGGAAGGGCAGGCAAAGGAAAAGATGAGCCTTCACATCCAGACTGGTAAATTCAAATTTTACTTAATTACATTTACCTATCAAATCCCCAAGACAGGAGGAATGGGGGAAGACTGTCTTCACTGTTAATTTCACCCCCAGTTGTTTATTTGTGCACTGTCAGAAACGGGTTTTCAAAATCTGGCCTTCCTGTGATTATCAGTAGCTGTGGGTACAGGAGACAGCTGTTCTGGACTGCACACCAAATCCAGCTATTCACATGCCTGATTTGTGCTTCCAGCTACTTACTCTAACAGAAGTCTAAAATGTATTTCATTTCAATGCTCATGTACAGCATAAAAAACTGCAACTTTATACTTCACATTGTTTTTGACTGGCCTAAACTTAATGAGATGAAGGAGCAAGATCTTCATCCAACAGAGATACAACGTCTTGCCCTGCATTTGTTAATTTACTTGGTCTGCTATTACTTAGTATATATTGCCTTTCCATTAATTAAGGATAGTTATTTACATTGAAAGGGTGATGGGGTGGAATTGCCTAGCTAGCAGAGCAAAACCCTAATGACTCGGGCATCTCTGCAATGTTTATCCAGGTCTGCAAAGAGACTCCTGAAGGACAAACATTCTGACTTTCACTCCACTATCGAGTATTTTTAAAAGGCAGGTTTATATATTATCATGCCAGTAGAAAGACAGATGATTATCTAACATGAAACACTGTTAAGACACATGCTAGAAAAAGCTTACAGTACTGCATAATGCAATTTGCTTATCAGTTCTACATACACATCTGCAACTGAGAAGAAGAAAAATAACCAAACCTAGTACATGGTTTACTGTCAAATTATAACAAAAAAACCTGCGGAGTCAATTATTAAATTTTTCTTAAAGAGAACTTGAAAATGAAATGTTGCACTGGTTGTATCACCACCACTAAAGCTTACAATGGGCTTCTTACAGAAAATTATTTTTTTTTAATATGAAGGATGAAGCTCTCTACAGAAGTACAGTTACTGAAAAATACTGAGATTTAAGCACAAGGCTTCATCAGCAGAACTACCACCATATATTTTATATGCAGTTAGGGAAGACAAACTTGTAAGAATAAGTTATTTATCTTTATCCTGCAACCACCTAAAAATGTGTATCCCCATCCATTTTATATAGATATGCTTGTTTCACTGGCATGTCTCATAGCAGAGTGGTGCAGGAAAAGTTGTTCTTCTCTTTTGTTCTTTTTTCTTTCCTAATATTTTCTTCCTAAGCCTCTCATGTTGCTTCTTTCCTTTCCCTTCTGCATTAGTACAAAATTCA